GGTTGTTAAGCGCAAAGCTACACAATGAAGGTTGTGTATATTCTTTCCACCATGTGTAACAAAATCAGATTTTTAACTGTGTAAGCCTACAGACATACCGACGAGCCATGATAGAGATGGAGGGGGGGGGGAGGACACAACATAATAGAGGCTTACGAAATAAAATTGGGTTTTGATACTTGCAGTTGGCAGAGCGCAGAAAGCCTATTTTGTAGCTTTCCGCTTAGAAAAATAAGGATTGTAGATAGTTATATTTGAGGTGGTACGATACATACGTGTCCTACACCACAATGCAACGTTTTTATTTGTTTATAACTTTTCACTGATTGTGTTTGTTTCCTTTGTTTTACGTTTATCTAAAATAAAATATAAAAACGTTTGTTTGTTATGGATTTCGCACAAAGCTACAAGAGGGATATCTGCGCTAGCCGTCCCTAATTTAGCAGTGTAAGACTAGAGGGAAGGCAGCTAGTCATCACCACTCACCGCCAACTCTTGGGCTACTCTTTTACCAACGAATAGTGGGATTGACCGTCACATTATAACGCACCCACGGCTGAAAGGGCGAGCATGTTTGGTGGGACAGGGATTCGAACCCGCGACCCTCAGATTGCGAGTCGAGCTCGCTAACCACCTGGCCATGAGGGGCATATAAAAACGTAATGAGCTGCCAATGATTGTCTATATTTTACCGGTTTCATGTTTATATATAAACGTTCTTGGTAAACATAATGGTTTCAGAGTAAGTAGGTATTTAATTGGTCAACATAATGGTTTCAGAGTAAGTAGGTATTTAATTGGTCAACCAGGTAATAGCCTTAAAATTCGTAAACGTTTATCCAGCGATTTTAGTATTTAAAGGAAAATATTATTTAATAACAATTATTATTTTTATTATTTCAAATTACAACTTTATACGAACAATTCAAACATTATTTACTCAATCATTTACAAAATAATGGGTTTCCATTATAACGTACGTTTCTTATTAATGGATAAATACTGAACAAGCGGATTTGTTTAACATGATGTTAACGTGATGGGGTATTTGCAATGTGCCCATGGCGGTGGGGAGATCGAAACCCGAAGTTTAACGTTATAATCCCGATGGGCTACTGAAGGAGGACACGATACCGAACACGACGAAACTAATAGTAATCTTTACAACGTCCATGTTTATTATAGAAATGGAAAGGGTTTACTAATTAAATCTTGATGTTAAAACATGTGGCTTACAATAGGATTTAAGACAGAATATATATATATATATATCAAGATTATATAATAACTTTATTTTAAATTAAACTACAAAAGGATATCTGTAAATAACCTAAATGAAACCACTTCCGAGACCTACATGTCGTAAGTTTGTTAGTTGAATTTAGCAAGAGAACTACCTATGCTAACTCTTCGGCTACTTTTTACCTCACGACTGAATGGGCAATCGTGTTCGGTGACAGGTTTAGATCCCGTGACCTGCGGATTGTGAGTCCTAACTACCAGCACAAGCCAGGCCTTACGGCAAAAGAAAATGTTTCTAGATATTTCCCTTCCCCCGGTGGTTCAGTGGTAAGCTGGAGGGCTCATAACGTTAAAAATTCGGGTTCGAAACTTGTGGTGGGCAGAGCACAGAAAGCCCATTTTTTAGCTTTGCGCTTAAACAAATAAAAATTCTAGATGCTGATATTTGAAGAAGAAGGATACACACGTGCCCTACACAACAGGAAGTTGACGTATAGTAACACTCGTATCAATAACTACGTACAAATAGCATTTCCGGATTGTTTTCATGCTACGTTAAATAATTTAAGCTCAAAAAACAAAAGCAATGTCTACATCTCTTTCCCGTACTTTTCTGTGTCGTCGTCTTTTGTTTAAAGAGTTGCAAATTAAGAAAAATACAGTGCAAAACAAAATGGTCGAGAAACACGATATTAACACATGTAGCCAGGAGGAGGAAAATTGATCTTCTTGTGGATAGATGGATGAGGAAGTAGTAGTACTATTAACATTCGCAGTGGTAAAAGTTACTGTTTCTTCTTCTTTTGTGGACTCTAGGGTTAACAACTCTGAACTATTGATTGTTGATGTAACACTTGAAAATGTCGATGTTCCCTCTTCTGGTGTAGTTGGTTTTGGCGTTAATAGATTTGAACTGGCGTTTCTTGTTGATACAGTAGAAGATTCTGGTTGATTCGTCTCTTTCTCGGGTTTTGTGGATTTAGATGTTAATGATTCTGAACCTGTGCTTGTTAATGTTATAGTGGACGATTCTGTTGAAATAGTTCCATCCTCATCTGTTGTGGAAATTCCAGAGTTTCTGGAAGTTAAAAAATTATGTTTTGTGGAAGTTGTTCCTTTCTCTGATTTCGTAGATTTAGTTGTTACAAGTTCTGAAACTGTGTTAGTAGATGTGGAAGACCCTGTTGAAACTATTCCTTTCTCGGATTCTGTAGATTTAGTTGTTACAAGTTCTGAAACTGTGTTAGTAGACGTAGGAGACCCTGTTGTAACTATTCCTTTCTCGGATTCTGTAGATTTAGACGTTACAGGTTCTGAAACTGTGTTAGTAGACGTAGGAGACTCTGTTGAAACTATTCCTTTCTCGGATTCTGTAGATTTAGTTGTTACAAGTTCTGAAACTGTGTTAGTAGACGTGGGAGACTCTGTTGTAACTATTCCTTTCTCGGATTCTGTAGATTTAGTTGTTACAAGTTCTGAAACTGTGTTAGTAGACGTGGGAGACCCTGTTGTAACTATTCCTTTCTCGGATTCTGTAGATTTAGTTGTTACAAGTTCTGAAACTGTGTTAGTAGACGTGGGAGACCCT